TATGCACCACATTCTATGCCCAGCACTGGTGACACACAGGCCATTACGGAAAGAGGGCAAGTAAGCAAGACCTCAGTGAGAAGCAGGAGTTTTAACCAAACCACATGAGGACTACTGCAGCTGTGAGGAAGTGCAGGGCTCACATTCCAGAGCAAAGGGAAGCCCAGAGGTGAGCCCTTCCCACCCTAACTTAGTTTCACCTAGGGGTCTGTTGATTCACAACAGCAGCAGTTCTAAGGCTGAGAAGCTGAGCAGAACTTTTTTTTTTTTTCTTAAATTGGGCCCCCGAATTATCCACACCTCTAACCAATTTGGCTACAAAGTCAGAGTTTCTGGCACCCCCTCCTCAGTTTTGGCAAATTGCTAGAATGGACTGCAGATCTTAGGAAAGCACTTTATTTACATTTACTGGTTTATTATAAAGATACAACTTGTGAACAGCCATAGGGAAGAGATTCAGGGGGCCAGGAATGGGGAAGGGGCACGGAGCTCCCTCGCCCTCTCTGGAGGCAACATCCTTCCAGCACCTCGTAGTGGTCAGCAACCAGGAAGCTCTCTGACTTTTGTTCAATAGTTTTTACAGAGCTCCCTCTCCAGCCCACTCCACCCTCCCAGAGGTCAGTGCGAGGGGCTGAAAGTTCCCAGTCCCCAATCACTGGCTCTTTTAGATGATGGGTCCATCATGAGGCCATCTAGGGGCCCACTCTAAGTCTCCAGTAGCATAAACTCAGGTGTGATGAACAGGGCTCATTATGACTGGCAAAGTCGATCCTATTGGGAAATTCCAGCATTTTTGTTCTTTCTTGCCAGGAACTGGGACAAAGTCCAAATATATTTTTGTATTATACTGCAGTATTAAAATATTTGAAGTGGGTTTTCAAGGGGACACAAACAAGGTACTGTATAATTTTATTGGGGGCAACTAGGCAGAGAAAAACTCAAGACAGGAAGCCGTGGCTGCATCCTAAAACAGGACAGGTGTTCACTGTGTACAGGAAATGACAGGGAATGAGAGACTAGCAATGGCCCAGCACAGGACTTTGGAGGACCAGCTGATAGGGACTACTATAGGAGCTCTGACTGGTCTCCCTGATTCCTCTGTGGCCCTATCCTCCACCCAAAAGTCAGGAATCGTTTAGAAACGTACACTAAATCTTATCACCAGTTTGCTTTCAATTCTCCAAGGACTTTCTGTTCCACATTAAATAAAACCCAAACCCTTTGCCTCAGTCCACAGGGCCCAGCTTGATCAGGCCCTGCCTACTCTGTCCCAAAGTAACAACATTCTCCTTCCTTTGGAAGCCCCATTCTAGCCTGATCAGCTCTAGGGCAATTCCCCATATACCTGTACTCCTTTCCACCTGGATGGTTAATTTTAGACTTGAGCAACTGAGGCTGGGTACCCAGTTTAAACTTTATTTCTAGATGTGGCTGGGAGGGTGTTTCCAGGTAAGATGAGCCTTTAAATCAGTGAACTCAGTAGACTGTACTTCCTCATGGTGGGGGCTGGGGGGGGGGCGCGCATCATCCACAATTTGCTAAGGTCCTGAATAGAAACAAAGGTGGAGGAAAGAGGTATTCACCCCTTTTTTGTTTCCTGCCTGCCTGTTGAGCAGTGACATCTCATCTCATCTTCTCCTGCCCTCAGACTGCGGTTTACACCATTGGTTCTCAGGTCTTCAGACTCAGAATGAATTCTAATGCCTGCTTTCTTGGGTCTCCAGCTTGCTGATGGCAGACTGTGGGACTTCTCAGCCTCCATAATCACATGAACCAATTCCTCATAATAAAGCTTCTCTACATAAATAAATATACACATACAGACACACACCCATCTCCGACTGGTTCTGTTTCTCGGGAGAACACTGATACACTCTCCCAGCAAAGTCGTGCCTATGGATCCCCTTGTGAGTAGCAGAGGGTCTCGTCCATGGTGCTAAGAAGTTTGGAGGCAGAGTGATGAAGTGATTGACAGCACAGGTTCTGACGTCAGATTGCCTTGGCTCGCGCTCTCGCTGCTCTTATTAGCTGTGTGAAATTATTTAACTCCTCTGTGCCTTGCTTTCCTCATTTGTGGGATGGAAGGACTAAATAAAAATAAAAATTTGTGGGATGGAAGGACTAAAAAAAAAAAAAACCTCCATCTATGGAGTTATTGAAAGAACAGGTTAGTTCTTACAAAGCTTTTAGTAACTGGCACACAGAATAGACGTTGTGACATTTCTCATTTTCCTATAGGTGAAAGTGGAAGGCTTGAAGGTGTTAACCTTAAAAATAAAAACTGCTAGGTGCTTTACAAGCAGAAATGGGTTTGTTTAGAAATAAAAGGACTGCACTTGGGGAACAAACAAGCCCCAGCAAAACCGTAGGCAGGTATATAAGCAGAACTTTCAATAGACTCATGGCCTAAGGAAATAAAAAACAGGATTTCAGAGCCCTTCAAGGAAGAAGAGCCATAGTAAAACCCCTGACTTTTGGGGTCCTGAAGAACTATATACCCAGACCAGCCCTTATAAGGGCTGAAGTTCAGTTCAAAACATCTCAATTCCTGACTGGAGTAAGCTCATCAGAGATAGAAGCTTCCAGAGGCAATGGTGGATCCTCTCTAGAGAAAGATCATACTATCCAGACCCCCTATCAGGGTCTACATCTACAGTCTTTCACATACACTGTGTGGTACTCATTCAAACACAGCCAGGTATGTGAGGAAACAAGATGTGAGCCCAAACCAAGAATGACAACAGAAGCAGGTCAACAGGGTAGCCAGATACCAGTTATCAGATGCGGCTTTAACATACAATGACTAAAACCACAGTGAGAGACTGCTATCCCTTGACCAGAAGAGCTTAAAGATATTAACAATCCCCAGGGTGAACTGGGAGAATAGTTTCTGTTCTTATTCTCTGGTTAAGAGAAATACAGTAAATACAGTAAACTGCTATCATATGTGAAATCTAAATGGTAGGTATCTATTATACTATTTTCTGTACTTTTCTGAATTTTTGTTAAATTTTATAATTCAATGTTTAAAGAAATAGAAGGTATGGCTAAAAAGAGATCAGCAAGGATTGCATTATGTTGGCCTTTAGAAGCTGTGTTCAGAGTCTGTACTTTCTTTTTTAGACACCAAGAAGCCACTGAAGGGTTTTAAACAGGGGAATGGCCGCATAAGACTTGTTCTCTGTAGGTCATCGTGGCTGCACAAGGCAGAGAGGGGGAAGAGAGGGCCCAGCTGGGAGGCTGGTGCCGTCCTGTGGATGGGAGATGCCAGTGGCACTGGAAATGAAGGCAGTTGTAAAGATTTGAATGATGGAGTCTGAGTTTTCTAGGAAGTTGGGATTTAGTTCTCCAAACAGATGAATTTTATCCCAGTCAAATCAGGAAGCAAACAAGGCCAGTGTGACACAGAGAAATCTAAAATGAGAACAATTTATAGAGCAAGGACAACATCTAAGATAGAGCCTGGGACTGGGGAAAAGGAGAAAAATGTGAATTTTTCTGTAAATCCTTAGAAGAAACACAAGCAGTTCTAAGACAGAAAGCTAATAAACACTCAGCTCGACAACAGATGGTCAGATAGATACATTCACAACTTGCCAGAATTCTGAAGCCTTATGCACCCCCTTCCAAACATGCAGATGCTTTTATGTGATGGGGGAAAAAGAAAATTCTATTTCTGATTCTGATAGCAAATGCCAAGTCACATCTTGCCAACAGAGAATGGCATCTCCAACCACAAACCTACTGAGAACTTCATAACCTTATTATCATTTTGGAGAGAAGAGAGTCTCTGACCGCTACTTCTACCAGCCCTGCCAGAAAGTACAAGGGAAGTGTGGGGGGTGGGGGGGATGAATGACAGTTTTTAAAGAACTCAGCTTTTTCATCTACACCCAAGAAACTGGGTTTATGTCTCCAGATTATTCATAAGCAGACCACGTGTTATTCTGTGAGGGAAAATCAAGCATATCAAACAAATTTATCCTCATATTCTGAAAAGTGGCCTGAGGCACAGAGTCTGACAAGTTCTTCAATTACTGGAACTGCTTAACCCTCCACTGAGGAGAGATCAAAGAATTAATTTTCTTTATCATGACTCTTTGTGCCTTTACCAAAGGTTAAAGATTAAAATTGAGCATATTAAGTTCCCAATCTAACTAGTTTGGGTATAAATATATATTCTTGGGTCTGACTTATGAATGTCTAGTTTGTTAGAGATAGGATTTTTAAATGGTTCTTTCCCCCTAATCTGTTCACCCAACAAAAAATATTCAGACACATTCTTTTTAAAGGAAGTACTTCCCACCTACATGCCCATGTAGTGTCTCAATTTTTAAATATTCTGCTGGGAGAGCTTGCTTTTAGAGGCAGAGTATAATACTAGTTGTATTCAACATTCTTCCTGTACCAGAGTAAGTAAAACTTAAACATGATTGTCTTAATTCCCAAGGCATATGATGCATTGAACTGACATACTGCAGAGTTCAGGAAATAATCACCAAGTAACTCAACTTCCTGACTCAACGTTCACCAGAAAATACCCTTTCTCATTTTCACTAAATGATTCCCCTGAATCAAAATTTCAGCCAATCAAAATTCAGGCAATTAGTTGCATGATAAATACTATCTAGCAGATCTCACTGGTTATTACTAAAAACATTAATGAATTTTGCAGAGTTATTTAAATATCTCACTCCAATCAAATTTATGAGACTAAATACAATTTCTAAAGTTATAGGCAGATTCCCTCAAATAATTATCACCATCGCAATCCAGCAGCATATAAAATGCTCACAGACATTCTTTCACAGTGCTTTAAGATTGAAATAAGAGACATGTACTTAATATATATTACTTAAAATATCTCTTTGGGGGTAATTCCAAGATGAATTTCAACAGCACACAAATACTCCCCAGAAAACACATGAAATTCTTGCCACAGCCTGCCTAGGGGATGGATGTAACCTTCTCACAATACATAGTCTGAGAATGATACTCACTGGGTTAAGCGTTTTTTCAACAGAATGGTGAACGGTCCACCAGTCTGAAGTCCATTCCCACGCGTTCCCTACTATATTGTATAAGCCATAACCATTGGGAGGAAAGGCGTCAACCTAAAAATTAAAAAAAAAAAAAAAAGGAAAATGCTGTCAAACTACTCACCTTGTTTCGAAAAGATCTTTGCTGCAGAAATGCACTAAAAGAGTTATAACTTCAAAGTAGGAATATTAATTTCATCCCGATATAGTCAAAATGCAATTTGGCCAATGTGAAAACCAAGAAAGAGACATTTTATGGCTTTGAGTTCTCAAGGGGAGCGTAGAAACCTAAGGAGAGACTGTATTATTCGTAGAAGAACCAATAAAACTATTCCTAATACAGAGACTAATAATGACCATAAGTTGAATCTGTAATTAATGGGGGACAGGGTAGATAATATTTCAACCCTCAAAAGCATTATAGAAACATCACATTAGACCCAGTATAAATCTTGTCCTCAGAGCTAAGTTATGTGGGCACAGTGTCTTCTAGCACTCAAAGCCTCAAAGCACTTCTGTCCTTTCCACCAGCCCCTTCCAACTATCTTATCTTTAAGTACCAGACTTTATCATCAAAACACTGTGGGGACTTGTTTTTCTAAGGAAAATGTGAATTCATTATCAAGCATATTTGTAAGAGAAGGTTTGCAGTCAGTCTCTGGAATCTGGAAGTATGAGGCCAACTGTACAGGTTCCTCAGCAAGCAGTTATATCACATTTCAAAGGCAGGTCAGACAGTCTGTCATATAATATTGTCACAGACACAGAACCAAAGTATACAGCTTTTTTCAGAAGGAGGGAGGAGAGAGGGACGAGGGAAAAAAAAAAAAAAAAAAAAAATTGAAAAACAAAAAAAAAAAAAAAAAAAAAGTTTTTTAAAAAGGGGGGGGGGAGAAGGGAAGAGGAAAAAAAAAAAAAAAAAAAAAACTTTGAGCAACAATAAATACAATTATGCTATTGTGTATATTCAACTTAAATTTTTTCCCAACATTTTTCTAATGGCAATTTCAAACATAAAGAAAATTTTCATTAAAAAATATCAAGTTACCTAAAAATCTTTTTTTTAAAGATTTTTATTTATTTATTGGAGAGAGAGAGAGAGAACACAAGCAAGGGGGAGGGGCAGAGGGAGAGGGAAAAGCAGATATCCTGCTGAGCAGGGAGGGCTACACAAGCCTGGATCACAGAACCAGAGGGAGATCAAGACCAGAGCAGAAGGCAGACACTTAACCCACTGAGCCACCCAGGGGCCCCTTAAAAATCTTTTATATGGGGCGCCTGGGTGGCTCAGTGGGTTAAAGCCTCTGCCTTTGGCTCGGGTCATGATCCCAGGGTCCTGGGATCGAGCCCCGCATCAGGCTCTCTGCTCAGCAGGGAGCCTGCTTGCCTTCCTCTCTCTCTGCCTGCCTCTCTGCCTACTTGTGATCTCTATCTATCAAATAAATAAATAAATAAAAATCTAAAAAAAAAATCTTTTTTACAAAAAATAAGATATAAAAATAAAAACATTTTTGTAAATTCATGTTTCTCCCCTACTAATAAAGTAGGACTAAAGAAATGAATAAACTAAAATTCACTTTTATTTGGCTTTGGAAGGTTTCAGGCCGACATATTAATATGGAAGCATACTTGGGCAATTCAGAGCACTTCAAAATTATGAGGCTACTCCTTAAGAGAACTTCATCTGGATGAGCTGGAACACTAGACAATGTTACCACGCTGCTTCATACTCAGGATTCATTATGGAAACAGCAGCTTTATTCAGTAAGTCCGTGCATGTCAACTGAAGGCAGGATGGGTTCAATGATGTAAGACATCAAAGAGCTGAGAGAGAAAAAAGAATATGCCCAAAACAAAAAATCCAGTTCTGTAAGACTCTGTAGGGAAGTTCTGTAAGACTCTGTAGGGAAGTTGGGGGAAGAAGCCTCAGAAATTCCCAAGAGGGACAGGATTTCTGGCTACAGAGATTTCTGGTTATACTCCCTCTACAAAGCTAGAGAGGTGTCTTGTTAGAACCAAGGTCAGAGTTCCAAATTCAGAGAGAGAGTAAAGGCAGAGAGACCACCGGCATGAGCTGTTCTTTCAAGAATCTGGAGATGATGAGAGAGACAGCAAGGTGGGACAACAGCTGGAAAGAATAGGAAGAAAAGGAAGAAATTCATTTGTTTCAGGGGAGAGAAGCGAAGGAGCCAGGGGCACAAGAGCAACTGAAAGAGGAAACAAACATTCTGGAGGAAGGAATCATTTCTCAGGCTCAGAGAACACACGGGTGGAGGAGCTGTCCAGTCCATCTGGCTGCGGTCCTTTCTCCGCGCCCACACTTGGCAGCTACTGAACAAGGAACTTGACCCCACTGGTGCTGTTACACCATGAAGATAAGGAAATAATAATACCTACCCGGAGGTTTGGGGTCTTCTTCCCCCTTTAAATAATCTGAAGTTTAAGTGAGGTAAAACCCCAAAATCACCATCTGTGAGTATGCTATTACGGAGGGAAAAAAACCCTTATAACTGCTCATTGTTAAATTAACTGCACTAATCAAAGCTTCCAGGAACCTCAAAAGAAAACAAATGTGTATGAGAAATATTTCAAACCCACTTATTTTCAAGTGAATGAACTGATATGCATTAAAACCGAAACACGCTAATGGTTGTGTAACAGCAGCCTAATGGAATAAAAATCCAATTCTACAGATTCATGGTGGTCAGAATAGTGTTGTGCTCAGTCCAGACCAGAAGTAATGACACCCGTCAAATACAGGTGAGAGAGCCGTTTCACCGCAGCCCATCCCATCACTGAAAATAAATTCCTTCCCTCAACTGACCAGAGCTTGTGGACACAAGAGCAGCCAAGGTGGACGTGAGATAATTCACTGGGAATTTTAGTCCTATTTTGTTGAGTCCCATTTTGAAGATATGGATCTTGTTATGTCTCGTTCCAAGCACAGGTGGAAGTCGCCTCTCTGTGGGCTGCTGTTTCTTTCTCCCCAGGTCATGTTTCTCCAATTACTTCTTGAAGGGTCCCTGGTAACTGTTCTAATTTTGTTTTGGGAACTTCCATGGCAGCTTCTTCAGGTAAGTTCTGCTGAATATATCCCAATATATAGACATCTGTTGCACTCCCAGTTAAATGTTCCATCGCTAAACATCTGTAAAGTGTCCTTATTTCACAGGGAACTTTGTGCTTTCTGAAAAGGGGCCCTGACTTAAGGATAAATGACTATTTTCCTTGGAGGCTCAAGTGCTTAAATAGGATATGAAATTCTAGAGCAGTAAGCACTGTAAACCATCCATAACTGTCCAATGCACCCTTCTCATGGCCCTTTACTAAAACTGACAGGCGCTTGTATAATTTGGCCCATCAGAAGCCGGCGCCTTAGGATTCAAGGCTTGCGGTAGCAGCCCTCCTTCTGACAGCCTAGCATCCAGGGAGGGAATCCAGGCTGTTGAGGCCCCTGTCGCACCCAGCCTCTCTTGTGTGCTCACTGCCAAAGAAGGCCAGGTATGGGCCTGACACCGTGCCATACACACTCAGGCTTAGCACACTGCAGGTGAACTGCTGCTGTAGAGTCTACACCAGTGTGGAACACTTCGATGGCCACAGTCCTGCTGCATCTACCGGCACCTTTCTGGGGGTCTCATGAGCATCCTTACCGATCACCACCACTGATAACCCTGTCCATCCTGTAGGGCCATTTCTGCTGATGAAAAGTGGCCCCTGGGGCACTGACTGGGCTTCTCACTCATGTGAAGTCTGAGAAAGCATGCAGCTCCTTTAGTCCCCAAGGCCCCAAATCAGTCATTTTGCAGAATACAACTATGGGCTTGCAAAAGTAGCAGCTATTGGGAAGGAAACTCTGGAAGAACCAACTTTGAGACCAAATGGTTAGACTTTTGACTCCACTGGGTAGTGCTTCATTTCCCATTGGTTTGTGTTGGTTCCTTTATCACATGCTTAACACATATATATGGAGTTTCATATGCACACACATGCAGCCCATACCGATTGGAAGGCTACCTATTCTCATGCAATATATTATTTATATTAATTGCCAAAAAATGAAACTAAAATATTTTTTAGATTTTTGCTACGTCAAGTGTCTCCTCATCTTTTATCTTTTCCAAAAATGTCTTGGTCTTTCTCTCTCACTACTTTATTATTTCAGTTGAAGTTTTAGAGTCATTTGGCCATCTTCCAAACGATGTATCTGTGTTACATTTTTAAAGTAAATTTTGGAAGAATTATTTTTGTGTGAAACAAAAATACAAATATGAAAAAAAATGACAGCTGTTGGAAAGAGTATTGAAAGAAAATTATTCTCTGCAACAACAAACCCAGTAAGGTCCTATTTACCCACCACAAGATTTCTTTTCTCACTGTTAAGGGAAAACGAAATGTTTTTAACATTGCTTCATTAGTGTACGATTTTACCAGCAGAAAAGCAATGAGAAAGGAACTCGCATACGCTTCTGGAGAGAAATAAGCCACACGCCCTCTGCAAAACAGTATATCTCTAAAACCTTTATGAAGAAAGTTTTCTAGTCTTCGACTCATTAATTTCATTGCTAGGAATCCATCTTAAACAAATCATCATAGATACACTTTATTTATTTTTTTTTAAGATTTTATTTATTTATTTGACAGACAGAGATTACCAGCAGGCAGAGAGGCAGACACTGGGTGGGGGGGGGGGGGAGAAGGCTCCCCGCTGAGCAGAGAACCCAATGTGGGGCTCGATCCCAGGACCCCGGGATCACAACCTGAGCTGAAGGCAGAGGCTTTAACCCACTGAGCCACCCAGGCGCCCCATCAGAGATACAATTTAATATTCATGTACAAGATACTCCTTGTTATATTATTTAGCAAAATAAACCCTCCAAAAACATCCCAACAGATATAACCTAAATGTGTGACTTGTTAATAAGAGACAAATAACTTAGGGCTCATTCAAATATAAAGTTATTCATCTGTTAAAAAGATAATATATTTGTGAAAAACTGTTAATGACAGGTAAAAAGTTCCTAATATTAAGCAGGGAAAACAGGATTTTAAACACTGTATTCAGCATGCCCCAAAAGCATATATATACCATATAGTTATACATTTCATATATATGAATGTATACATATATAAATGTATATGTATGTGTACACATATAGATGTATTTATACATTTCATGTATATATGTGTATATATATATATATCTACATAAACACCAGAAAAATATACACTGGTATATATGGGAGTTAAGAGCATGGGCTTTGGAAAAAAACCGACCCAGTTCAACCCAACCACACTGTTTTCCAGCCCGTGTAATTCTGGGCAAGTCAGTTAACCTCTCCATCCCTGGGAATGCTCACCTGGAAAATGAGTGTAAACTAAATGGTACCTGCCTTACAAAGCTGAATTCACATTCAAAGAGAGAATTCATACATACGGCTTAGCACCAGGCCTGTTACACAGCAAGCACTAATGTCTGGCCATTCCTAGCATCATGAACACAGAAAAGAGCAGGAGGAAAGGTACCAAAATGCTAACAGGGGTGATCTCTGGGTGGCAAAATTCCAGGTCCTTATCATTTCTCCTTTATCCTCTTCCTGTTTTCCAAAGTTTCTATTAAGTGTGATGGAATCAGAAAGAAAACTGTGTTATAAAAAAACATGTGGTTAGCTATTAGCAGCTGCCATGTGCACGAGGGGATGAAAACAGGAAAAGGACAGCAGACTGGTCAGGGAGTGAGCAATGCCTTCCACTCCTGTCCACGCTCTCAGGAGCTGCTGCCCACCTTCCCAAGTCTCGTTACTCACAGGGGCAGTTCCTCGGAAGCCGTCCTCCCCGGTGTTGGTCACAGGAAACTCGCCCTGCCAAATGTTGGCATAATGCTGGCCTTTTGGCTGTAGTTTGTTGCCCCAGGGGAAAAGTCTGTCAGAAGAGACACAGGCATCAGCCTGTCAAACAGGCACAGGCTTCTGGATTAAAGTCAAGAGAAGGAATGCAAAGAACGAAAGAGCATTGCTCACTTGTTCTGAGTGAACTGTGTTTTACATTTCAAATATATAAACAAACAAAGCTTTTAACCAGGACTTTTTTTTTTAAACTTCCGCACAACTAGCTCATATCAAGTTCACAACAAGCTCCGTGTTTCCCGAGTACTCAAGAGGCCTGAAATAAATCACATAGCTAAGAGAAGGGCTTATCGAAGGCTGGGAAAGTAGGCATCATTCTGGACTTATATGGTAGCACAATCAGCCGGCATCACACCACACTTTTTTATAAAGCCTCTGCTATTTTAAGGAGCCTTTCCTAGAAGTTGTGACCTAAACATGAATTTTCTGTCTCATGGCTCTAGAAGCAGAGAAATACCATTGCTTCGGGAGCTGTCTAAAGTAAGAAAATCCTAAAGGCAAAGCAGCCTGCTGAAAGGCTCTGAGGAGGACTATGTAAGAGTGGAGGGCTGAATGTGGGGAGCACACTTTGGGGCTGTGGGGAGCACACTTCACCAGACACTGGTGACCCATGCATCAGTGTCTCCTAAGTAGGCCCATAGAGATGAAGAAAGCCTAGGAAGAATAAGCTGTTATTTTTGCTTAAAATCAACTTTCTAGCCAAAGTAGGTGCCACAGATTTAAAAAAAGGTCATGACACACATCGGTAAGATAAGACCCTCCAAGTACCTATTTTGCAGGCCTCCTCGACAGCTGTACTCCCACTCAGCTTCCGTGGGCAGACGCTTTCCTGCCCACGTGCAGTAGGCAACAGCATCATTCCAGGAGACGTGGAGGACCGGGTGGTCAGGCCTGGGACACAGCAAAGGCGGAGTGAGGAGGGGCACGAACGGTAACAGGAAACGGGAACCGGCTGCAGCGAAGTGCCCATAATCCCCCTCAGCTCAATCCGGGACACAAAGGTGGTCCTGGACCCCAACTCAAGCCCCAGTTGTGCCACATCTGTCACCTTCTACCACAGGTCTAGTTCCAAGAGGGATTATAACCCATTTGAGGCTGCGATGTCAAATGGGTTATAATCCCTCTTGGAACTAGACTCAACACATTTCTTCTTCTCTTGTGGGCAGGCCCGGACCCCCACAGAATCTCACTTGGTAAGGTGGATGTGGAGATGTACCACCCACATTGCCCTCTAAGGGAGGAGTGCTGCTCCAGCTGCTGGGAGTGCTCCCTCAGGGCTTTCCACAGCTGCAGAGAACCACCAATGACTAATCAGTCCTTTCAGCCTACCACAGCTCCATCCGAAGGGCCCTATTTACCCCAAAGCTGCCTAAGGATCAGTGGGGACTTCTTGGGCCTGCACTGTCGTCTTGGCTTCTCCCTCTGCTCAGTCCTGCTTCCTCCCCCTCCTTTGGGGGAGGAAGGTTGCTTGGCTTTAAACTTCGTGTCTTTCTACTGCAGATTAGCTGGCTATATGTGCCTCATGCTAGCAGATTCCAAATTAGGATTTTTTCTAAGGGCATAGAAAGACAAGGAGGGTTAGGGGAGAAGTTTGAGAATAAGGGGAAACACACATTCACATAGCACTACATAGCCTTAACTCGCTGTTCATGCTTTTTCAAGTGGACTACACACTCCTAGTCCATTCCTGAAACATCTTTGAATTCCCTATGGCAATTCCACCAGGACTTTCATTTACTCTTTCAACAAATGTTTACTGAGTACCTAATATGTGTTAGTGACTGTTTTCAGCAATGATGAGAGATGTGCTTTTCTAAGAAAATGGACTCAGTCAGTGGGTAAAATATAATCCCCTCTGGGTTTTCCTTCTGCCTTAGCTTTTTCTTCTATTAAATTCATGAAAGAAAATGTCACTTGGGAGCTAAGAGGCCCGGTCGACCTGAGGTACCCAAGAATCCTAGGACTGTCTGTCTCACAGTCTATTTCTACTATGAAGGCTGCCGGCTCACGCTTGGCAAGATTTCTGCCCTTTGTCAAGGGACTACAGCCCTAAAGCTGAACCTCATGTACGCTCAGCTCCCTGGCAACAAGGGCAGTAACCAGAAACGTTGTCAAAAATAGAGGCTCAAAACTCCCATCTGAAAAAAGTGGGTTAGGAGAACAGTTTTCTTGGGCTGTCGAGATGCTGAGTCCTGACCCAACCTTTCTCCATCTCCGGGGCTTAAAGTGCTACTCTATTTTTGCCTGAGATAATTATTTCCTTGCCACCCTGGAGACTTGCTGACCGACTTGCAGCTCTGTGGTTTTTCAGTCAGATGGTGGCTTCAAAGTATGTCAGTCCAAGCCTGGAGATCACAAGAATCCTATTCCCAAGGCTGGAGCTTCCACAGCGACCACCTGGCCAGACACAACTACTTATCCATAAGACAGACGGTCTTCTTCCTCATAGTGACCCGCTCATGAGAGAGAGCAAACAGACAGGTTGCGAAGATTAAATATGTCAAGAGATTTGTAACAGGCCTGTCAAAGGGGGAAAAAAATCTTCAAAGGCAGCTCTTCGACTGGCCAAATGAGGAAGGAAGAAGCCACCTAGTAAGAACCTTCTATGAGTGAGGCACAGTGTTTGGGTCTTCACATGTATTATTCCCTATTTTATTTTCCTACCAACCAATTAGAGTTTGTCCTTCTCACCCTTTTACAGTTGAAAATGGCCACTGGGCTCCTTTTCAATGGCACAGTAATCTACTTGGCAATTAAACATGTCCACTGGGGAAAGAACCGCCAATCTTACCTGTGTAGAACAGTAGAGTCAGGCCCTTCTGGGTGTCTCCAGTTAGCGCCTTTAACAGGTAACCACCAGGGAGCAGCTGCAACCTCAAAACAACCCAGAAAAGCTGAGGTTAGCTATGATGACTCTAGAAAAACACTGACCCAGTATGTGCAGGGGGAAAAAAAATTCATGATCTTCAACTTCCATTTCAGTTATCAAATACTTTTACCAGAGTATCAAAAATAAAGATTTATATGGAAATAAATCTTCAATAAATGAGTATTATTCCATATCATAAAGCACCACAATGACTAAATAGATATATATTTAAATGGTGTGTATCTCCAAGAATTTTTATGTTTTTAAAGGATTTATGTATTTACCTTAGAGCGAAGGAGGGGCAGAGGGAAAGGGAGAGAAAGAATCTCCAGCGGATGACCGCGTGAGTACAGAGCCCTACAAGGGGCTCAATCTCATGACCCTTATATCACCACCTGAGCTGAAATCAGGAGTTGAGACGCTCATCCAGCTGAGACACCCAGGCACCCCTCCAAGAATTTTAAAACATGCAGTGCTGGCTACTCCTCTATAATCTCTAAGAAGTGAGAGACAGGCTGTACGGCTCCTACTTAAAAGATGGGGAAACAGAGTCAACCTAAGTGCTGGGCTTAAGGTCAACTAACGTGGTCAGATGCCAAGCTCAAGCACAGGGGAAAAAGCTGGAGCGTGTTTCAAAGACGCTCCTTTAATTTCCAGCCCAACATCAGCTGTGTGTCCCAGAGCAAGTACACTGCTTATCTGGCTCCTGACAGTCCTCATCTGCGAAATGGGAGCAGGACCTCTGCCTCACCTACCTCAGACTACAGAGGAGACTGAATTCCATAAGATTAGGAAGTGCTCTACCCAATGTTCCCACAACCTTAACTCCTACTTTACCGTTCTAGTAATAACCCAAGAAACAAGAGCAAGTGGCCCTCATTTAGTGACTGGTTAAGAACTTGGCTTTGGAGCCAGTGAAAACAAGATTCAAATTACTCACGGTGTGACCCCTGGCAACCTAATGAACCTCCCCACGCCTGTTTACTCACATTTAGATAGAGATTATAACAACAGCCACCTCAGGGGTTATGACAAGGAAGAAATGTAACATCCACAAAGGGCTGACAAGTACCACCTAGCACTAGCACGCACTCGCTAAAGAGAAGTAGCCTCAACTGTGGCTTCATGACTGGAGGAGAGCCGTAAAAAAATCTTCATCATCGCTGTTGCTAATACTAACTAAACAGAAATTTGCAAACGACTCTTGTAATATATACTACATTAGACTCAAGGTTATCCCCATGATAATGCTACTGTCAATCATTTGCATCCTGATGAGCTGGGCTGAGTGGAAGAGAAGGAGGGGATGGTGTTCCTGTTAATTATAGCAATCACTGAAAACACCAAACTCTGTTCTTGTTCTTTTCTTCACATCAGTACAACCAAAACATTCATGGTATTCCAATGACATTTTGATGGGAAAAACCAAATTCTCTTATATTTCAACAAAAAGAGGTATAGTGTCCTTAAGGACACCACTGCAAAGTGTTTTATTTTTCAGAGACCAGGAGAGGCAAAAGGTACAGCTTATTTCTATTTCATACAGGGATTTTCTCACTGACTAGACTGCTGGATGTTTATGGTCCGGTGACAGGTAATTCAATCCATGCCAAGGGAAAATGTGTATAGAAAGCCCAGGTTATCCCACTCTTGTGTTTCAGTATCTTCAGATCACTCACCCAATCCCAACCCACCCCAACACTGATGAGATGGGCCACCAGAAGGTTGTGTCTTAAAATAATAAAAGAACTAAAGACAAATATGACAAAATGTTAACCTTTGTTAAATCCAAGCAGTAGAAAGTGGAATATCTGTTTTTCTTGTATCCTTTTGTGTTTTGAAACATTTCATCAGTAGCAATTAAAACTGATTTATTAATCCCTTCTACCACTGATGGGCATTTGGGTAGGTTCCAGTTTGGGGCTATGATGGATAATGTTCACTTCTACGAACATTCTAAGGAGCTCATGACTTTTAGCAAGTATACATATGCATTTCTGTTGACTGTACACCATGGAGTGGAAATGCTGAATCACAGGGTCCGCATAGGAATAGCTGTAGTGAAGACAGCCAAACACAAGCTTTAATGGCCCATGTGTCCCAAGGTTTCCCACCCCCTTGTTCAGAGGGAAGCTTCCATGGAGCTGGCTGATATAAACCAGACCCTGGTGGGGCTGCTCCAGGGACCTCCCTTTTCCTCTCCTCTTCCCCTCAATTCACTCTGGCTACAAACATTTGCTGAGCACTCACTATCTGCCAGCCACTGAGTCTGATTCCTAAAAGAGATCTTTAACTCCCAGGAATCCACAGAGCATGACTTAAGACAGTTTATTGATAGTGTTTAAATTATTTATTTTACATATTTATCTAACATGGTTAATTGCACAAAGTTGGGAACAAAATATGGAGCTAGTCACTTCATTTTCCTTCAAAACTGTCTACAAAACTCCAACTGCTGGGTCTAGGGACCACCTTGCACACACTAGTGCTAGAGTTCTGCCTCAGTTCCTCCCTCTACCCATACACACTTCCTTCATTTTAGATATCTGCTTTCATTTCTCCCAGGATTCCTCTTTTCTAAAATCTTTCACATGATCTTAGCAACCCATCCCAAACAGACCACCAGCTTACACGACTAGAGTTACGGAGCTATGCAATGATCAATAATTTCAGTGATGTGTGCGGTGAGACAGGACAAACAGACTGACTCCAGATCGGCGGGGGGGGGGGGGGGGGGGGGGGGCGTGTAGGGTGGAGCACCACCGTAACACTGTCCTTGTCCAAAGGCCACTACCTAGTTTTTCTCCAAGATATTAATATCTGAAGTACATAAACAAAGATATATCTACAGTATTATATTACTTCTAATTAAAAATTACAAAATAACCCATCCTTGGCATCCAACTATCCAAAGGAACACCATACAGTTATCAAAAAACACTCTGAAGTTGAAATAATGTATATAATATCTCATGAAGCTGGCCTATAGAATAGAATACATATTTGATTCTGTTTTTGTATAATACATGCATGTGAATGTATGGTAGTATACTCAGAAGAAAAAAACTTGGAAGAATATACTTGCACTCACAGAGGTCAAGACTACGGGAGTAATATACTTTTTAAGATTGAGCATGTATTACTATAGAAAGAGTTCACAACTTCAGAACTACTGACATGTTAGGCCAGATAATTCCCTGTTGCAAGGGGCTGTCTCGTGTACGGTAGGATGTTTCCTAGCACTGCTGACCTCTTCCCACTAGACGCCAGTAGCACCATCCCCCACCTAATTGCAGCAGCCAAAAGTGTCTCCAGACATTGCCAAATGCAGAATAACCACTGCACTATGATAATCGGGGGGGGGGGGGGGGAGACTGTCTTCCTTAAATGCTAATATATAGCTCATAGAGGCATAGCAGTAAGCACATCCAAGCCTAGAACCAGGCTACCTGAGCCTGAAAAATAGCACCACATTTTACAAGCTGCATGATCTTGGGCAGAAAGGTTAACCTTTCTAGGTCTGTTTCCTCACTTGTAAAATGGGACAGTAACACTTCTATCCACTTCTCTGGGCTGTTGTGAGGATTAAATAAAGAAATGAACATAAAGAGCTTAGAACACTACCTAGCACAAAGTAAGAATGACACAGTGTTAGCTAACATTATTACTGTTATTCACTTGTTATTGCATGTTGCAATATTCTCTTAGAGCTTTCAAAGAACATACATTCTAATCAGTGAAAATCTTCCCTCTAATACTTCTTCAGCACGGGCCCCAGCCAACCCTCAGTTCACCCTTTTCGGAAGAAAGATCGGCTGAAGAAAGTATTAGAACATGTGTCATTTCCAAAGAACTGTCAAGAAAAGTGTATAGTTGTCATTTTCCATCACAATCATGATGTGAGAACCATCTACACATAAACTAACCCATTCCCTAAAGCAAGTAGCACCACAGAGGGGGCAGGGCAAGGATGTGATGGGCATAGCAGACGCAGGAGGAATCCACATTCACCAAACGCTAAACCAGACAAAGCCTGGGAACCTGTAAGAGTACCTACACCACGTGCCTGTCTGCAAAGAAGACTGCAAGTCCCCACTGTAATGATCAGACACACAATCAGGAACCATTTCCCCATCTGACACACAATGAAGAAAAAGAAAAGGTAATCGAGGTCACCCTACAGGAGGACTGATGCGATGAGAGGTAGGACATCACTCACCCTGGGAATCAGGCCTTAAGAAAGCCATGATGTTTCCCAGCCCAGTTTATGGCACATCCCAATGTCACCAGGTGCCTTCCTTTTCCAAATGTCACTGTTAACATTGTGTTTTTAAAAACTTGTTCTTGAACTCCTGGTTAGCGTCTTAAAAATAAATGCTATCCTACTATGTTTGGGAACTTATGAAATAAAATGATTTCTGAGAGTCATACATGAGCCAGTGAATCAAGGACATACTGCAAATCCTGGTATCTCTAGTTCTTTGGCTTTAACACGAAGAGTCTTCCGGAGTATTGCCTGCAGAGTAGCAGAAGCAACATGAGAAGACTGGCATCCATGATGAGCCTCATCCTACAAAGAGAACGTTATTTTTTTTAGTGTGGTTGCCCACCTACAGATTTTCTGTTCAACTGAGACAATTCCAGAGTTGTTACAGCACTTCCTTATATCCAGGGGGAAAGGACTTTAACTTGACCTATTTCTAGTCAACCATCTCCATAGCAACTGCCTTGGGTTTTAAGTTGAAACAGCTGTACCAGACAGCCAGTGACCAATTACAATGTAAATAGGATCCATGTGAGTATTGATGTCCCCTTGAGAAATGGACTTCCCAGCGCAAAGACAGCTTTTCTCACCTCTCCCTGGGGATATAACCAGACTTGTAGTAACAGTTGAAAGAAAAGAAATGGAGAAGATATCAAAGGTATCTTTATTCTTGCCAGAGGTGGTAAATCATGCTTTTTATACACACACAGCCTAGAATAAAGTCGGCACAGGGGATAGAGCACTGTGTAATTATGCATATTAAAGCATAAAGATGTCAAGTTCACAACTTTACAACTGTTCTCTTAAAAATTAAATGCATTTAGACAAGCAAATAAAAAAGATGGACGTTTCTTGAAACGTAGTATAAACATGACAGTTACCCTATAAAAAGAGCCTGAGAGAATTTTCAACTGGCACCAGTGAACAATGAGAAATTACAGATCTGTTCAAATTCATGAAGTATAAATAAAACTGGAGGAGAATTCCGAAGGAATCAAAAGGAGTAGAAAAGCACACAGTGAGTAAAAAATCTCTTCCTTTGGCACTCAATACAAATGTGGAAAGTAAAGAACCAGGTTTGAATAAAGAGTAAAAAGAAATTCATCATTAAAATAGGTAGTCAGGTTTGACAGCTTATGTTATTAAATCCTAAATTAGGTACCTTCACTACTTAGTAGAATTTGTGCAGGAGAAAAATGCATCCTTTTTCAAACAGAGTACAAATATTTATGAAACTTAAAATGTAACTGAAAATTTTCAACAACTTTTTGCTTCAGTTCTTAGTGAAATCCCTCAGGCTAGGACACACCAAATTCCCATATGGCAACAATCAGTACACTCTATAAACATTCATTACACATCCTTAAGACAGGAGTGGATGCACAGTCACTCATTATACCCAATGTTCAAAAAATGGCCCAAGGAATGTTTGGGCTCAAAGAACCATTAAGAGTGATGGAGTTTACTTGTTGTCAGTTGTATGGGGAAAGTTGATTTGGGAGTTGCTTCAGTGAAAGAAAAAAGAGAAAAGTACTTTTTAAAAAAATAATTTTGGGGCGCCTGGGTGGCTCAGTGGGTTAAAGCCTCTGCCTTCGGCTCCTGAGATTGAGCCCCGCATCAGGCTCTCTGCTCGGCGGGGAGCCTGCTTCCTCTTCTCTCTCTCTGCCTGCCTCTCTGCCTACTTGTGATCTGTCTCTCTTTCTCTCTCTGTCAAGTAAATAAATAAAATCTTTTAAAAAAATAATAATAGGGGCGCCTGGGTGGCTCAGTGGGTTGAGCCGCTGCCTTCGGCTCGGGTCATGATCTCAGGGTCCTGGGATCAAGTCCCTCATCGGGCTCTCTGCTCAGCAGGGAGCCTGCTTCCCTCTCTCTCTCTCTCTCTGCCTGCCTCTCTGTCTACTTGTGATCTCTCTCTGTCAAATAAATAAATAAAATCTTTAAAAATAATAATAATAATAATTTTTTACTTCTTTAAGCAAAGAGGTGACCATGTAAATTGATATAACCTATCTTCAGAGCAATTTGACAATACTCAGCAAGAGGCTACATCACATGCATACAGAGTGAGGAGACTGATTGAGTCCCTTATTTGTACATCCATATGAAGGAATAGAATGGTCATTAAAAACTATATGTGGGGGTGCCTGGGTGGCTCATTCAGTTAAGCCTCTGCCTTCGGGTCAGGTCATGGTCTCAGAGTCCTGGGATGGAGCCCCATATCAGGCTCTCTGGTCATCAGGGAGCCTGCTTCCCTGCCCCCCACCCCGCCTGCCTCTCTGCCTACTTGTGATCTCTGTCAAATAAATAAATAAAATCTTTAAAAAAAATTATATGTGGGGAAAACGTAATTGTTGGATAAATGTTTGCCCTTTACAGAAAGTGAAAAAAGTCACTTACAAGTATGTGTATACAAGTCTACTTAAAAATATTTTCCTATAGACACACAAACACTGACACCCCAAGAAAAGATTAGTTAGTACACATACTGAAATGTCTGCAATGGTTATTTCTGAGTGTTGAGATTATGGGTGATATTTAATGTTCTTCTGTAGGTGCCATTTTTAATTTCTAAATTTAATTTCTAAACAAACTTTTTCAGATTTTCTAAGTTTTATATTTTTAACAGAGCTAAGAGACTTAATTTTACATTGAAAAAACAAAAATAAGAAATGTTAAAAATATTTATTAATCAAAAAAATACTTATATTCATTATCCTACTGCAAACTTTTTAAAAATCATCTTCTAGTTTCATCAATAAGCATACACATTTTAACATATTTTTTCCAAATTATATATTGATCATTTTCATTAATTTTACTAAATACTTTCCTATGTTTAATGTGAATTTCACAATAAACATTTTTAGTGGCCACACATAATATTTTGACATGCTGCTATATCATAATTTACCAAATAATCTTCTAACATTGAAACACTCAGGTTGGTTTGGTTTTGTTTTGTTTTGGCTATTATAGACAATTATACAGTGAACATCTTCAAACATCTTCACTTACATTTTTTATTTTTTTGTTTCTGCTAAATATCTAGAAGTGGTACGTTAGTCTCTAATAAGCTCTTGCTAAAACTCATGTTCATAGATACACGATGTATTTTTTTTTTTAATCTATAACATTAATAGATTTTGTGGCTAGTTACCCTCGGGAAAGAGGGCTGAGCATACATAAAAGTTCACGGCACTCTAGAGCAAGGTATTTATTATAATTCTTTACAAGGAGACTCCATTTAGGCCTCTTAAATTGCTAGTGGCTTACTTAGATCTTTTTCAGTGTATAAAAGAGGGAAACTGCATTAAGTTTAAATGCGGTTTTTTTTTCCTTCATGCCTTACAAGCTATGAAGCTTCTGAGAAAAAAAGGCAAAGAGAAGACAGAATATAGTAAATGCATCCAAAGAATGGGAAATTCTCTCACACAGGTTTTTTGGAGGGAAATCAGAATATGAATAATCCCACCTAATTTTGGTAAGAGAGAAGAAAAAGAGGAGAGTCATCACCCCAAAAAGCATCATGACAAAGAGGACAAAGACTCTTGCTACCCAGGCAGCCCAGGTGCACAGCCAGAGATTATCTACTTCCCACCTGATGTCCCGACACGCCTCTGCAGAGGGCCGCACGGCATGATGGTTCGAGTGCTGCCCCTTGAAACTAGAGGCTGGCACAGAACGTGCCCATCTCAGCCTAGGGCTGCAGGAGCACAGAAATTCTAAAAGCTTCCCAAGGCTGACTTCTTCAGGGTACCAGCCTGACATGAACATTTCAGCCGGCAGCTGGACCCTGGGCCAGCAACAGGAAGGTTGACTGCTGATTCTCCGTGTGACGACAGCACGCAGAGTAGGAAACATATGCAAATTTAAAAAAAAAAACAATACTGTGTATCTTGCAAAGCTCTGTGAGAGCTGCTGAAGCAAACACAGGCTTGGCAGGGAGTGGAAACCTGACTCTAACACTCAGGTATGCCAGGCTTCCCCAGAATGGCTGCACACTGAAGGCAGGCCTGCTTACAATGTTGCTGAGTTTTAAAGGTGGGATGGTTCTGGAAAGCTATCTATTTAAACTTCCTCATTTTACAGATGAAAAAATGAGCCCCTAGGGTGCCTGGGTGGCTCAGTCAATTAAGCTTCTGCTTTCAGCTCAGGTCAGGATCCCAGGGTCCTGGAATGAGCCAACCTCCCTCCCCCAGACTCCCTGCTCAGCGGGGAGTCTCTTTTCCCTCTCCCTCTGCTGCTCTCCCTGCTCATTCGTGTTCTCTTTCTAATATATAAAATAAAAACTTTTAAAAAAAGAAAAAAAAAAGAGCCCTGAAAAGGTGGTAGGCAGAGCCAGGAAAAGAACCTTACAACTGCAGATTTTCAGTTCATAACTCTTTTCCACCATACAAGAATTTCCCAACAGTTTACGACAAAATGTTGGTAGGTAAAGGGGAGGTGGTGATGGAGCGGTTCCACAGTCATAGCAGTCTACGTAGTCAGGAAGGCACTGGGCTAATCAAGTTAAACTAGTTTCTTGTTTGTTCGTTTTATTGGAGAACTTTTCAAAATCTTTAAACTATAACATGTGGTTAAGTTTTGAGGAAGGAGACACAGTATGCACTGAACCAAGCAGTTCGCCAAGTGGTTAGTGGGTTCCAGTCCTGCGTCTCCTCCTAATTACTAGCTATGTGACATGGGAAAAGTTACTGAACCTCTCTGAGCCTTGGTTTCCTCAACCAGTAAAACGAGTACAAAAAAAGAAAACTTATAGGGCGCCTGCGTGGATCAGTGGGTTAAGCCTCTGCCTTCAGCTCAGGTCATGATCTCAGGGTCCTGGGATTGAGTCCCGCATCTCGCTCTCTGCTTGGCAGGGAGCTTGCTTCCTCCTCTCTCTGCCTGCCTCTCTGCCTACTTGTGATCTCTGTCAAATAAATAAAATATTTTAAACAAAAACTTATATAATAGGCTTGCTGTGTAGATTTAGCGTAATAAACAGTGAAGAGATACATACTCTTATGCATACGTGGGTGTCAGTACATTACTGGAAATCTATAAAAACCAATTTACGGTGACAATCTTCCATTCATTCACTCATTCATTCATTCAACAAACATTCCATGAACATCTGCCCTATGCCAGCCCTGTGCTGGGCCCTGGGGGTACAGAAGTGGATCATACAACCTGGGGCTGAAGACAAACAAATGAGTAGATGATTTTTAAGCCTGCATTAAGTACTGTGACCAGGAAGAACTCAGTGAGCTACGGAAGCCCAAGGAGGGGCATCCATCAACAGTCAAGGGGTGCTACTCTGCAAATGC